CACACACACATATATATATATATATATATATATATATATATATATATATAACCAGTTCACAAAACTAAATGCTTTGTTCTTGATTTGAATTGGATCATTTTCTTTCATCCATGTCCCATTCACAATGAGCAGAGAGAACCAAATTAACTGATTAATTTTCGTATATTTTGTAGAACTGACTATTTTATTAACACATACAACGTCGCTTTGGTATTATTACGTTTAAACAAGCAAAAGGTCTTCAGTTTTGTGACGCAAGTTAATTGAAGTATTTTATGTAAATAATTTAGATTGTACGTATTAATTGGTATCAACAAAGAATAATATAGATTCTAGATTTGTTTTATGAGCTAAGTCATGGCTGCAACAAACTAAACTAGGACCGTGAAATTGTAATAACCTAACAAACTGCAGTATGTTCTAAATATGACCTTAGAACGTTTTAGAGCACTAAGCCAATCCATGACATTAACTGCGTGATTGCCTAAAGAACAACTGACTTTTGAAACGGTTCTCTGGAACGAAATGTTCGAAAGATTCGATTCACAGAAATGAGTCGCTATCACCAGTGCGAAGCGTCCATGCGCATGCGCAGCTCTCACCTGTGTCGCTGTCCGCTGCTGTAGTGCTGCTCTAGTTCTGCTGTGTGGAGCTCTTCGGAGCAGCATCATCTAACGCAAACATGGCGACCCGGGTAAGATATGCTTCCATTTGAAATATTCAACAATTAAGCTTATACGACATTAAGAATTAGCGCTGAGTTTAAATGTAATATAACATTTCTCAACAATCGCTCCGGAGAAGAGCTTTAGTGTCTCGTTTTCAAAAAAAAAAAAACCTTTCCAGTTTGATGCCAGCCACTGGCATCTTTCCACAGTATAACCACCAGCCTACAGACAGTAGCAGGTGGCGATACAGTCACCTGTGAGCACCAGTGCAGATCTGCAGCGATATTGCTGCTGTTAAGAAAAAAACATATTATTGTTTATAGCATGCTAATATATGGCTACCGCACAAGCATACGCGGGAAGCTTTGTACAGTAGCCTAATAATAATAAGCCCCTATGAATACTTGAATCGCGATGGTGGCACATTAATTTATTTTCCAGCATCTGTGTGAACCGTGATTGTTTCTAGTCTGAGCCCATCGGGAAACAGACACAAGCCTAAAATAGAACCGAGGTGGTTGTCCATTTGTTTTAGCCCATCGATTCGGTACAACATGAACCAGCAGGCGGTTGTCTCGTTAGTCTTTTAAGATGTGTGTTAATATCTATGTGTACAGTAGCCATGCACCGTATTTTGTGCTGCAGAACGCTGTCATGAAGAGTGAAATGACAGGACTGTGCTCGTTCAGCGGATTTAACCTTGACATGGCTCGCGTAATGCTCACATAAGCTCATCACACCACACTGTTTGTGCTTCGAGAGCTCGCGATGTATAACCATGAGCAAGCCTGCGATTTCCCGTTCAAAATCATGCTTTCGCTTCAGAATGTCCACAGAAACACATAGCTCCACCAATACGAATAGCTATATTTTGTGCGCAAAGCTACAGCACTCCCTCTCCGTGCTGCAGGATGGAGCGCTGTAGGGCTCAACGAGAGCTTTGCCTGTCATTGTGAAAAATGCTTTCAAAATGGCATCATTATTGTCTTTAGTTTTATCTGTGGATAAACTGAGATTTCAGTGTTTCGTTTAGGTCCTTGTTTATTTATTTATTTATTTACTTGCTTATTCATTCATTCATTCATTCATTCAATATCAATATACTATTATTAATAACGTTTTTTTAGTAATATAAATAACATTTATAAATAATATTAATGTTAATTATGTAGTAATATATTATTGATTTATAAATGTTTATTTTTTAATTTTAGAAATTATTTTAATGAAAATTTCATGGTTTTATATATACATATAAATAGAGAGAGAGAGAGAGAGATGTTTGTTTGTCTTTTTAATTATCATTAAAAATAAAATGGGAGATCATGTAATTCATGCCATAGTCTTTAAATGCACTGCAATATAGTGGGGATTCAAGCCAAATATTATAGGGACATTAATAAAACACAATAGGTATTTGGGATGTAATGGGACAATTAGGCACAATCAAAGTGCAATAAAAAATAAACAGCTATAATTTTTGATCAATTAAATTATATATTTTCAATGCAATCTGCCTATATATATATATATATATATATATATATATAGTGATATATGTAGATTGCATAAAAGACAGCAGATTATACAGTCACAGTTTACTATAGCTGTCACTGTATTTAATGGCATTAGTATGCTTAAGGTAGGAGAGAACATGCCAGTGAAAGAGCAGGTGAGAGCTGTTCAGAAATTTGTGAATGCCTGTCACAGTCACACACCCACGAACAACTGTAAGAAAAGATGAGTTACACAGTGTCAGTTGTTTTATTAAGCCCATCAGAGTGAACATTGGAAAATCTGTTATTCAGGTTGTTTTTGCTGAGATGCCATTGTCAGCAGAACAATTTATTAATTCTTTTGGTTATTATGATATATTTCTTGTAAGCTGAGCTGATCAAGCCAGACAAACTCTGTGTAGGCATCCGTCACCCACAGAGTTCAGCTGAGTGTTAAATTACTTAATACTTCACTGCCTTCTCAGAGAGTGTATGAATGATACACAGCCTGGTTGTGTCTGTCATAATGCTCTCGATAGATATGTGTGAGATATGTGAGCTACTGGTTGTCTCTTAAGAGTATTTCCCCTTTAATTCCCATTTCCTCTGCTTTAAATAAATGCTTCTGTAGGACTAATATACATCTCTTTATTTAATAAAAAATGACTACTAGATAAAGCTTTTTGAATTAGTGTATAGGCTTCTGCGTGTGGCATGGGCACTAGAATAACTGCCAAGCTCTAAAGTATATTAAAACTAAATGAATAATTGATATGGTTGAGAAATCCTCCCCATCAGCTGTAGCTCTAATCAAAGGCCCTGCATGAAAGCTATTTTTTTTATTGTTGTGAATGCCGCACAGCTAATTAACATCATACGAGATTTCTTATCATCTATACATTTAAAGCAGCATTTTGGCAGCAATGTCTTTGCAGACATTAATGGCTTCTTACTTCAATTAACTCACAAGCAGCAATCTTCATCATGCAATTATTTTATATCAAGCAGCTAAAAGCATTCCACATGAGCCAGAAAAAAAAAAAACTGATCATAAGTGATTAAAAGTTTTCTCTCTGCTCAGGAAATGATTTCAGCTACGATCTCCCTCTGGGGTCATTAAAAGCAAATGATAAATTAGAAAAAGCTTGAAATGTGTTTCAGGAATTGCAAGTCATGGCAGTGATATAACATTTACATCAGACTCATTTAATGTTCATTTTTTAAGTTTTCTTTACTAAAATGCATTTTATTTATTTTTCTGCTCTGACTGTAGAATGATTTTTAGTTAAAGCCCGTTCACTATATTAATAACACTAATCATAATTATATTAGTGTCCATGTCAACACATGGTTTTGTTCTGTTTATTATAAGCGTGTGGTGCTGTTTTATCAGCTGCTTTAAATGCTCAAGCTCTTTAAAGTCAGGTGGATTCTGAATGTGATTCCAACGATATAGTTCCCCTTTGTTGTTATCGTTATAGTTCACTATCATCCTTGATGTAAACGGCCTTTAGCCTTTTGTGGTTGACCAATCAGGAAGCTCGATGAGCTGCATCATTTCCATGATATGGAGGTTTATGAGGAGAGGTTTTCTCTGTGCTAGTTGTCCTATATTAATCTTCATGTTTTGCATGCTATATGTTATAAGGCTTATCCTCCATTAAGTGTGATATATAAGGGGTATAGTCCATAAACCGAAAGTAATACAAGCCACCCCTGCGTCCCGGTGTAATTCAGTAGTCTAGCCATTTGAAGTGTCTGAAATCTCTGCATAGGTTGAACCTTTGTTTGTCTGTTGATCTTATCTCTGTGATATGTGCCGCTTATGAAATGGCCACGG